GACAGTTAAGACAGGATCATGTGACAAGGACTGCTCTGGTGACTCTGAGACTGGGTGGTCAGGAAGATCTCTTGGATGAAGTGATGTTTAAAGAGATGCCTGAATGGTAGCAAGGGACCAGCTTTGAGAGAACTGGGAGTGGAGAGAGCATCCCAGTTGGAGAGAGAGTTTAATGCAAAGGCCCCAAGTGGGAACACGTGTAGTGTTTCCAAGGAACAGAAGGATGAGGCAGGATCCATATTATTTAAAGTGGAGTGTGTATGGGGTCAAGGAAGCAGTCAAATTTGATTCTCAGGTTTCAAACCTTGTAGACTGGAGGGTGGTAGCACTGCTTTCAGGAATTGTACCAGGTGTAAGTGATGAAGATGGTGATTTGTTTTGGACAAATGAGACTTCAGTTGCTGAGGTCAGGTCATGTTGGATAGTAGCAGGCATCCTGGTGACTTGAGCTTGAGAGAGGGTTTGGGATTAGAGATCCAGATTGGAGAGTCATCCACCTAAAGGAATTGTTTCAGGCTGTGAGAAAGAAGAGAACATCCAGGAAGCTGAAACTTAGGGTAGAGAGGAAGCCGAAGATGCAACCATGAGGACAGTTTGCTTTGGGGAGCTGGATGATGACTTGAGAGAGAAAGGGATAACCAGAGATGCTCAGAGTTTGAGCACCTGAAGGCAGAAGGACTTATACTGTCAGAGCCCATTGTATAGTCTAGAGTCAAGCTGTTTTGTGAAGTTTGTGCAGTGAAGACAATTCAGCTAAGACAAATTATTTCACTAGGTTATAATTTCATGCATTTGATATTACTGTCTATTTTTGTATATTCAAAGTTAGAATGATGCTGCAAATTGCTACAGTGGGATTAGGTGCAGTCAAAGCTTTTCCTTTATCAGCATTTCTCAAACATGTTTTGCACCATACCAAAATATATCCTTCCAGAGACAGAAGTCAACTGTCATATCAAAAGATGAATTGTGAAGTGTTTTAAAATAGCGTTTCCTATTTGGCCACCAGGTGGCATAAACATTACTTTTAAATTGTTCAATGTATAAGTACATGTGAGTTATTATTGATGCTTGGTAGTGACAAATTATATATAGCTGTGATGATAGTTCAGTGAACTTGGAGAAATGTTATTCTGTTAAATTATATAAATATTCAACAAGTATTCAGACCACTAATTATATACAAGGGCAAGTGTCCAGCAACAGAAATATCTACAAAGTAAGTTCTGTGTTTGTCCCCAAGAATGTCTCCTTTCCAATAGGGAGTCACTAATACATTCAAAACAGTTTAATGAGTATAGTAATAGAAGTAAGTGCGAGGCACAAGATATCCCAGATAGGGAAGGCTTCACATATGTTTTGAAGCAAGGTTTGAAGAATCACTACATTCCTGGGTTGTAGTATAAGAACATGCCAGACAGGGAACAACTTGGGCAAGTGCATAGTTGTGCAAATGAGTGTAATATGATCTGGTGAACTCTAAGTAGTTTAGTGTTGCTTGCACGTGAATAAGGATGAGGGTGGAGATCAGTCTTAAGTCGGTAGGGGCTCCACGGTGAAAGGCCCTGTGGGCCAAGCTGAGGAACTTGGAGGGCTCTATCCTGTAGGGTATCGGTAGCCTCGGCAGGGTTTTTTTTTTTTTTTTGAGTTGGAGTCTCACTCTGTCACCCAGACTGGAGTGCAGTGGCATGCTCCTGGCCACTGCAGCCTCGACCTGCTGGACTCCTGGCCACCGCAGCCTCGACCTGCTGGACTCCGGCAATCCTTCCACCTCAGCCTTCCAAGTAGCCAGAACTGCAGGCACGTGCTACCATGCCCGGCTAGTTTTTTTGATTTATTGTAGAGATGAGGTCTTGCCAAGCTGCCCAGGCGGGTCTCGAACCCACAGGCGCAGGCAATCCACTCACCTCAGCCTCCCAAGGTGCAGGATTACAGGCTGAGCCACCGAGCCCAGCCCTCGGCAGGATTTTAAGGACTCTGAATTAGGGCTCAGTCCTCTGATGCTGCATCATCAGCTTCTGAAGGAGAAAAGAACAACAAATTAGATTTACAAATATATGATGGAGAAAGTACAAGATGTCCTCTTCACCATTCTTCTTATGACTTGTTCAATGAGTGTCCCCCTGTGTCCAACATTAAGAAAATATGGCTGCCAGGTGAGATCTCCTTTAGCTTCCTGTATGTCAGGGGTAGTTTCTATCTGCATTCCTGTGCCTTCACATCTTCGTTCCTTCAGCCACAGAGGAAGGTGTTTGCTTCTGCATTACTGATCACAACCCATCCACTGGGGTCCTTGATTCAGGTTCCTGCCTTCTCCTGGGCCATGTCTCACTTGCCACTTGTAGGCTCATGTTTTCGAAGTACACATTGCTGCCTAGATTTTCTCCAGCTGCTTCTGAGTTTGTACACCCAAACCTGAGATTCTTATAGTTTCTCCTCAACCAGTTCTTCTCTGTCTTTTTCCCATTTTAATTTGTAGCACCATCATCTACCCAGTCACCTAGGTCAGAACCAGGAGATCCCTGTATTTTTGCTTCTACTTCGTTACCCATATCCAATCAGTAAGCTGGCCTCCAGATCACGTTTTAATATTTTACATTTTCTCAGTCAATCCTTTTCCTTACACTGCATGGTTCATTTCTCTCATCACCTGATATTAGACTAACAGAAGTGCTTCTTAATTGATCTACCGATGTTTCATCATGTTCTCCTCAAATCAGCCCTTGCCAACAGCGTACCAGGGGTCCTCAAACTTTTAAAA